GGCTGGAGAGGTGCTGGTGGCACGGCTGCGGCGTCTCCTCGCCTGCTTCTCAGGGGCCATGTTGTGCTTCTGTAAGCGAGATTATCCATCCGGGCTCCCGCTGCCGCCCTCCGCTTCCCCCCTCACCTGAGCTGCGCCTGCACGAGGCCTCACCTGTCCCTCTAGGCACTGGGGGACAAGGGGGCACGCCAAGGACCAGGGTGGCAGCCAAGGAGCTGTCAGGGCACCGCGCAAGTTTTAAGGGCATTGCACAAGTGACGCTTTCCGGGACAGACGCTGGGATGATGGGACAAGTCGCCTTCACGCAGAGGGTCTGTGGGGTCCCCCGGAATGTGAAAGTGGAGCCCTTCCTTCCAGTTAGCAGTCTCCTGCGTTTGCCAGGGGTGTTTGCTGGTCATTTCAAGGGCTTTCCCCCTTCCCTTGGCCAGTCTGTTAGTGTAGCAGTAGCAGGTTTGGTGCCGCCAGTCCGAGAGGTCTCTTAGTTGAGCCTCAACCTCCTTGGCTTGGCTGCCTCTGCCAGCACTTTGTCGTCCAGTTGGCCACTGCTGTACCAGTGGCTTTTGTAAAGTATGGACAAGAGTCCAGTCATTGCTCAGCTGCTGGCTCTGTGTATATCTAGAGTGTGTGCACCGGATAGTGGGGTATCCTGAGTATGTGTGTGTGCTTGCTGCAGTGTTGTTCCCTGCTTGGTAAGAGCTCAGAAGAGGTGTCCATAATTGGTTATAGTGGTGACAGATCAGCATATGTGTATGTTCCTGGTGGTAGGGGAGCTGAAAGCACGGTGAGAGACTGGGGGACTCATGCATGTGTAAGGGGGATGGTGCAAGTGCAGGATCATGGGGCAGCTGGCATGGCTGAAGAGAATGCTCTCTACTAAACAGCACTGCAGGTCTTTTTCAGTCATCAGTCTGGGCTTATTCCAAGCCCAAGAAGATGTATATCTTTGCTGGGGGGAACCTGGTTGTGGTGAAGAGAAAAGAAAGTGAGCTTGAATCATCTTTCAAGCCTTTCTGAAGTGCATCTCCTGCAGTGCAAAATCCTGCACAGCTGACATATGCCTGTAGGCAGGAGAAGCGCTGCGTTTCAGACCTCTGCAGCCGTCTCTGGTGACTGAGCAGGATTTGATTGTGTAGTGCCAGTCGATTATAGCCACCCTAAATGAAAACACCGTGTGACGTCCAATAAAGCAACGTCGACCTGGCTACACACCTAGTCAGATGCGTGGCTGTGTGTCTTGTGTGGCTGTGGGTTGCAGGGGAGACCTGTCCTACTTCTGCCCTCCCCAGCTGCTGGATTTTTGTCTCAGAGGATATTGCACTTGCCCGCTATTCTTCCCTGGATAAACGTGGGAGGCAGTGGAGCTGGGGAAGAGGTGGGGGTTGTGAATAATGGTGATGGTAGGAGGGGTTTGTTCCAGTCTGGACTGGTCCAGTCTAGTTCTTTCCTTCCTGTCACCGTGTGAACAATGCTGCTGCTGCTGTGGCTGATGCTTGTGACAAGGCAGCCCCCTCCCCATGTGCCTCGGGCTGTGGTGAGCTCCCTTCCCTGCCTGCTCTGCCTGCTGTGGGCTGAGACCCCCCTGCAGCCAGCCAGCCTGCTGCCCCCCATCCCTCCTGCTGGGCTTTAAGCTCCAGGGAAAGATTGTGAAATCACAGAAAAAGGGGGGAGTGGGGGAGCTCTTGGAGGGAAAGGGTGTCGTTTGGTGGTGAACAGCAGTGGAAATGTTTCTCCTTTGGGGACAGTTTTACTGGAGGCAAGAGGCAGGCTTGCCTTTCAGCACTGCAGCCTGCCCCCGGGCCAGCAGCCTGTGCCTCTCACTGTTTGTTCCCTGTGCTGGAAGGCTGCTGCAGGTGTGTCATTGCAGCAATGCTGGGCTGTATGCTCTGGAAATGATTCCATCTCTCCAATTAAAGGAGAGACAGAGTGCTCTGGAAGAGAACTAAGACTGTCCCTTCCTGAAAGCGAGGCTTAATTGTGTGATGTGCTAATTTGAGTATGATGGTAAATTTCAGTTCTAAATAATGTTGTTGTAGTGCAGGAGCAAGAGAGTGGTTGATGAGAATTCCTCGGGGACCTGTTCTTCCTTCAGGACCTGCTCCCCCCTGGGGATTGCCTAGCCACAATGTCCTGTCTCTGATCTGGAAAAGGCTTACTGTAACGCAAAAATACCTGGTTTGGTTTCTTTGTGGACCAGAGTAACTTTGTTGCCTCCAAGTCTGTCACTTCATGTGAATGTGCAAGGTTATCATAATTCTAGATTTTTAGGGTTCAGTTCATGGATATTTTAGCTCAGGCCACCAAAGGGTCTCTTTTTCAGAAATGGATGCAGTGATCATTTTTTTTCAAAGAAAATAAATTGATGCCTGGTTTTGTAGGCTGGTCAGCATCAGATAAGGGGGGCTGAGTGGGCCTGTGAACTGGAAAAAGCCTGGCCCTAGCTGGCCTCTTGAATACTCAGGGCTTGCTGTGGGGATGCAGTTGTTCTGGCAAAACTATACACTGTGGACAATGGGGGGTAATTTATTTTTTTTCCCTGGGTTTCCTTGGTTACTACTATTGTTGTTGCTTGAGGTGTAGTCAAACTTGAGGTGCTTGCTAGTAGAGTATACTAAGAGATGATAGATAAATGCATGCATGTAGGTGTCACTTGAGTATTAAAAGGCAGAGCTGCCTTGCTGATTATTCCTACAACTCAAAGCTCACTGCTTAGCAAAGAATGCTTTTATACCTACTTTAAGACCCTTAAGCAATGGATGCTTCATTGTTGCTGATGACACGCAATTCTTGTAAAGCTGGCTTTGTCCTTATGGGTTATGGACATTTAATACACTTCTGGTACTTAAAATGGTAGCCCTGCTCTGCCACAGTACAGCAAACTCCCTCTTTGTGCTGGTTAAAGCAGACTGAAATGACTGTGATTGGAAAGGCTCAAATTGCACTATTTTTCTCTGAATGTTTAGAATTGGCAAACCTGCACAAAAGAGAGCAGTCAGACTATTTTGTATATGTTTGTGTAGATCCTTTAGATAAGTAATTCTCATTTAAAAGAAATTCTCAAGGACAATTAGAACTCAGCAGAGCTCATAGTTGTCTGTTGCTACAGAAAATGGTTGGTTTTCATTCCAGCTCCACAGGAGCTTTCACTGTACACTTTTCTCCTTGGATCATGTGAGAATATTTATTGGAATAATACTGCAGGTGATATTTGGCTAAAGCATGGCTTCTTAAGTTTTGTACTGAAGGTCATGTGCTCTCCCTAGAAGCACCTGTGTTTAATGACTTGTTTGGCTTGGAAGGTAAATTAATTCACAGTCATTGGAAAATTTATATAAATTCTTGTGTATAATCAGAACAGCACTGGAAATAGTGGAGCTATTTAGTTAATTTTAAAAACTAGCAACACTCTCCTTTTGTAAAACTGTTGTGTGCATACTCAGAACTAAATGTAGTAACATTTAGTAACTCTTGCTTTAGAAGAATAAAAGGCATATACATTAATTCTAGCTGGCAAAATTTCTTAATATCTCAATTAATTTTGAAGCATTGAGGTTTATTTTTAGTGCTGTGTGCTACCAAATGCTAATTTATGTGGTGAAGCTGAAAGGACTGCTCTGTGGAGTTGCTGTGAAAGAGTTACCCTCAAGTTGCATTAATTCTGTTTGTTATTCAGTACTTTATAGAGTGTGCTAGTTTAGTTTTCCAAGAGCAAGAATAAGTGGAAAAGTACACTTCAGCAGTTTGCTTAACTGATGCAGTTGAGAAGATGATCATTTAGGTCAGGTGATTCCCAGAAGTCAGGTTTTTATAGTCAGTCCATGTAGTATTTAAGTAATGAGATGAGCAAAAGTTTAGTTTTACAGTAGCTTGGTACCAGTTTGGTAGTGTATTTATTTCCATGAAAATTATCTTTCCTTTTAGGAGGAATAACTTCTCAACAGGGTTAATAAATGTTTCCTTTTTATGTTCATATTTGTGTGATTGCTTTACCTGAATTCGAATGAGCTAGCCTTGTACTTTAAAATGCTGCTTTGGTGTTGTGTGTAATAGCCTTTAAGGGCCAGCTGAAATGTTTCCTCATTCCTGAAGGCAAGCATAAGTTTCTTTCTTCTCATGGTCTCGCTCCTTTCTGGATTAGTCTGCGTGGTGTTCAGTTTCACTATATAAAGCACTATTTTTCACCCACATGCTGTGTTCATTCACAGCAGAGGGAGAAAGAACGTGGCAAGGGAATTCTGAAATAGGAATGAAGTGGGGAGGGGAAGTATGCAGTGGTTACAGCGTTAAAAGCACTTCTGGGAGGATAGTCCAGTATTAAGATGTACTACCCTATAGCGGGATCTCTTTGCCATTAATTTTGAAAATTTTCCAGTTCAGACTGTGAAAGATTAGTACAAACAAGCAGTTTCATGTGTTTTAGCAGTTCTTAGTATATCTGACTTGTTGTGGCTCAGAGTTTACATTCACTCTTGAAAAATGTATGCTTGATGTGATTATAAACTTTCATGATGGGGTGTTGCAAGCCTTCTTAAAGGCACTGATAAGGCATTTGTTAAATGTTTTAAGATAAAGCTTTTATTCTGTTCTGGCTGTGAAATTTATTTTTGTGTGCACTTTTTTTCCTACAGGGCAAAATCTCTGATCAAGTTTACAACTATCCAGAGGGCTTAGGAGAAGTGCTTTATAGAGAACAGTTCGACTTCAACGCTGAGCCACCTTGGGAACCTAGCTGATGATAGTAGGGTTCCATCTCCTAACTTGTCCATGTAAGTCTCTCTTTGTCTGTATGCAGGGAGGATAATCACTTCCAAAAATACAGCTTGTATTGGCTTTTTGGTAAGCAAGATAACTGTCTGGATGTAGATTATCAAAATTACATGGGGCTTTCATTTGGTGGGGGACTATAAATGTTATTAATCTAACACTTTTCTCAATATAATTATCTGATAAAGTTCTGAGAGACTTAACCATATGTGAGTAAAGTAGGTGAATAGAGTTACTTTTCTGAATTTGGGCTGTTGGCTTCAGAAATCCTAAAATGAAGTGCTGTAAGTTCAGTCTCTCAGTGGTAATTCTGAAGTAATGAATTGGACTGTATGACTGTTAACATCAAATTATGACTTGCTGAAGATGGTATGATTTCTCAGGGTAGTTTATACTGAAATAGTTAAAATTTGCTCATATAAACAGTAACTAATGCTGATCATGAAGGGTGTGCCTTCCCAAGTGCTTATCTCTATTATTTGCTAATTAGCATCCACTTTCACAAATAGTTTTAGTTGAGCTATAGTAGAATGTGTAAATTAGAGTTGGATGGAAATTGTGTACCGATTACAAATGCCTTTATATTTTGAAGTGGCAAATAATTATTAAAGAAGAACCAGACCATGATAACTGAAAACAAATGAGTTCACTTAGCTGATCTTAAGGAGCACGGAAGACTTTGGAATGTGTGTGGTTTCATGTTCTGTTACGTTAAAATAGCTTTATGTAGTTTTTAACAATAGTCTTAAATGCATTTGTAATATTTGAGTTAAGCTGACTTTACAATATTTGTACAGTATTACTTTTTTCCTGTCTAGCTGAAGGCGTTTTTATTTGGCTTAGTACCCATAAATTATATAATGCTTTTTAATGTAGAATTTGAGGATGGTTAAGTACATACTACTGGGCCAGGTACTTTTCTTACAGACCACAAGGATTCCAAATGCCAGTTGTGTTAGTATGCCTCCTAATAAGGTACTTAATGTAGATAAACTTGCTCTTTGAAAAAAAACCGCAGTAGCAGAGGTGAAGTATGAGCTTGGTTTATCATGACTTTTCGCTGTATCTCCAGAGGGTGTATTCCTTTTGTTTTGTTTGGAACTTACTGAATTAGCTGCATATATCTGGTTGGTTTTAGTCAAATACTCTATTCAAGTGAATTCAGTTAACACTGAAAATTTTCTGAATGTCGCTCTTAATTTTTAGGTGTGATTTTTATAAGCAAAATATTGAGAAATTTTTTTCTCCTGTTCAACTTCTGAGTTTTGGCTCGCTCTTGTATGTGGGTAGAACTCTTGCATTTTGCACTTCAACGGGAATAAAGTAAGGTAGTTAGACAGGAAAGGGAGAAGAATTGTTAGAAAGGAGTGAATAAAGTTGAAAATCTTAATGTACTGTAAATGCATTTTAACTTATAAAGCTATTCTGGAGGGAATTTTGTCCATGACAGAAGTTTTTACTCTTGGAAGAGAAACTGTTCTGATACTTTCATTGAGATATTCCTTCTCTAACTGGTAGTCACGTGCTGTGGCAAATAGCGCAAGGTATAGCTTGTCCTAGAACAGAAATGCCACTGGATTTGCAGTATTTGCAACTGAATGCTGAGATGATGTGTGTTAATTTTGAACTTGGATCTATTATGTGTTCAGTAATAATGTACTGTACACAAATATGAGTAGATCAGTATTGAGTGTAGTGGTGATGCAGGTAGCAGTAGCGTTTGCCAGGGAATCTGTACCTGTTTTGGTGTGCTGAAGCAGAGGTAATTGCCCCAAAAACAGCTAAGATGCAAGTTAGCCATCTGATTGGTACTTTTGAGTCTTGCTCAAATTGCAAAGTGATTTAATGGGAGAAAAGTCAATTGAACTTTTAAATACAACTGTAATGTTATGTTCTGATGGAACTCAAATAAAAATCTTCTGTCTGAAGGTGTACTTACATTCCCATTAATCTTGCTTCCTTTTTATAATTTTCTCTATCCCACTCTTGTCCTTGTGTGACACTGGCTAAGGAAGAACTTGGGGTTTAGTTCTGTCTTGCTCTTCATGCACTGACTCCCTGAGCAGTCTAGCAACTGTGGCCTGAAGTCTTGCTCCTTTAAAAATCTGTTTTATGTATTGCCACATCTGGTTTATCGGAAATGATGGGAATTAGCAATGGAAATCTGATCTGTTAGCGAACCAGTAGCTATCTGGACTGGCTAACCTTTAAAACTCTCTTGACTTTGTTTAAATGGAGCTGGGTGGCAACTGGGGAACAGGAGAGCTGGGAGTTTGGAGTGTTAGGGTGCAGTGGGGGAGCCCAAATACTAATACTGACTAAGCAAGTAAGAGGAAAGGGTAGGGAAGTGACTGTACTGTTGTGAAAGAGAAGTGGTGGTCTGGTACACCATGGAAATGTATGTACACGAGTACTCATTTTTTGTAAGCTTTGTGAGCTTATTGGCTCTGAATAATGTATTCAAACTTCAAGAATACGGAAGGTTCCTGAAAGCTTGGTTCCTATAGAAGATATAGGATGGGGCATTATTTTTAGTATCTACCCCCTTTGCTTGCTTACTTCAGCGTAATTGCTCAGTTACATTGCTCGTTTAACTGTGTGGAATGCTCCTGAGGGAATGGTAGGATGCAGCTAACCTAAACTGTACAGGTACTCTATGACCCTCAGTGGATTTCTACTGACAGGTAACTTGAGTAATGCAAAAAGACACCTGTTTCAGCATTTCCATCAGTTGACCTCAGTGGCTTCATTCAGCTAACTGACTTATAGGGATGCAAGTTGGTGAAATGGCATCTTGGAATATTTTTTGAAAAAGATGCTCCCATTATAAATAGGCATTTCCTGCACTGAGAACATAGGACTCATGTTTCTACTTTTCTAGTTGACCTGTTCTGTACTTAATTGCCAGTGTCAGTGACAAAATGCTGCTGCTTCTTTGATCTGCTACCCCTGAAGAACTGGTATTGTAATGAATGTGAGATTAATGTATTTTTACCTCTTTATGATTTTTACATCAGTATAATTGTTAATCTTGTAAATATTTATTTTGTTTAATAAGACATGGAGTTGAAAGGTGCTACTGGGAGCCTGTTTGGGATGCAGAGACTTTGTCATTTGCAGAGGAAATTTTTAATGAAAGAAACAAACCCCCAAGGGTGTTTGGTTTTTTTTTTTGTGTGTTTTTTAGGCCAAAGAGTATGTAGTTATGACAATGTAAAGAAAAAAGGAAAATTGTATGCGTTGTGTTATGGATGCTTGCATATGACAAGCATGTGTTTAGTCTATTTTCAGAGCATTTTCATTTTGTTTTATTCCAGATGTCTGCATTAATTGCAGTGTTTAAATATGTACACTTTTATCTTAAGAGTTCTTCATCTGGGAAGTCATTGTGTTAAACCATAAAGAGCCTGAGGATGTAACGCTTACTTCAAAGAAAGCAATTACATGCCTGTGTAGAAGTCTCATACCACTTGACAGCTTTTGTTTGCCTTAAAATATATGTCCTGGAGCACTGTGCAAACTAACATTTCAGGTGCGAAAATGGGTGGTGTTACCACACCAAGTCTGTCAAATAATGACTTGCAGCAAGTCAGCACTTCCAGCAAGGACTGAACTCTGTACTGTAATGATTTCTGACTCATCTTGCAGACATAAAAAAAAGTCCTAAACCACCCTTTAGATTTCCTTCTGCGAATTTTATCACTGATTCTCCTCCCTCCCCTTCAGGAGGGGTGCCAGTCAGAACAGAATGAGATGACAGCACAGTCCCAAATTGTGCTGTAAGGTATTAACCCCTTAAAAAAAACATTTCTCAAATATCCACTCTTTTGTAGTGGTGCTGTAGCAGTGCTCCTAGGAATTTGTTTTTTCTTTGTACAATATTCTTCCTATCCTGTTCTCAACAAGACAATGTAATTTCTTCCAGAAAGGGAAAATTGGATAGTAGTCATTAGGCTAATGTTAGCTTTTTTACTATATTAATTTCCCTAAATGGAAAAGCTTCTATGTCTTGGATGTGCTTAGAAAAAGCAATTGCCATTTAGCAGCTTGGGAGAGGTTATACCAATTGTTGATGGTTTGTTGCAAGTTATTTCATTAAATTTCTACTAGTATATATTCCTTTTGGTCCCTGCCTCTTGACCCTTAAGATGCTTTTGGATGAATGAGCAGGAGACAAGTCTGGTTTAGGAAATAATCTTCATCCAAACTGACTTACTAGACAAGTGTTCTTTTTGGATTTGGTGAGTTAGTGGTAAAGAGCCTCTCTCCTTATGCTTTACTTAAACCAATTCTCCCTGTCCTTACCACTCAGTGTCCCCAAAAGTAAAAGGGCAGCTTTTGGAGGAGAGTATTCTTCTACACCATCTCTGTCTGAAAGCTATAGACACCACAGTCATTAACTATGAAAAAAAGCTTTCTTTTAAGAATACTACACAATTAGCTTAACTCTATTCCACTGTAACTCAGATGAACACCCAGAGGAAAAGTGCAGTTGCTTAGATTGAGCTGCTTGATTTGAAATACAAGGTACAAGCAATTAGCCTGCTGGGTGGATGGGTGTCTGGTGAGCCTGAAAATCTATTCAGTGCTGCAGTTGGTTCCAGTGGGTGTTCTGAGACCTTCCAGTAGGGTAGATCAGGATGGAAGGGACTCTTGTCTGTCTTTACACTTTAGAAAGTAGGGAGTGGCTTATAGCATTAAAAAAAAAAATCAGCTGAGTAGCACCCTTGTATGTACAGTAATTCCTTAAAATACTTTAATTTTGCTTGCAGGCTTTTTGACAGGTTTATACAATGTATTGGGGAATTGAGAGCTTATTAATAAGAGATCAGAAACACAGAAATTGTCCAACTTGAATGAAAAGCTCAGATGTGAGGCTTCTCCCAGCCCTGTGGCTTCTAACATGCAAACAGTTACAGATACTTATAATATATGTTGGTGAGGTGTGAGTGGGGAGAGGAAAGAATCCTGTAGATTTAGATGCAGCAGAAAACATATTTGAAAATTTTTCTTTAGCATTGCTCTGTGTCATGAAAGGATTAAAAAACTTGGGGGTTTTGAATGTTTAACAGATCAACTACTTTCGAATAACCTGCTGAAAATAGAAATCACTTCACTCTTGCATGTGTCCACCATGGTTGTGCTTATTCCTCTCCTTAGTATTACTATTTTTGCAAGACAGTAAAAGAATTGTTATTGTTCTTGTAGAAGGAAAGTTTAAGGTGTTTATTACACAACCAACAAGTTCCTAAGGGTGCGTAAAGTACTTTAAACTATCTTTAAGCATTAGACTGTTTAGGTCATAGTATGTAAAAAAAAATGGAAAAATAATCAAACTCTGCTGTTAGGCTTTATTCTTCTTTGTATCTTCATGGTTTGAATATTCCAGAGCTCTACCAAATTATCAGTAAAATGCTGATGCCAGCCTTTCTTTCCTGGGGGGAAAAAAATATCTAAACCTATCTAAACCTACTTCTGAAAATCATGGATATTTTATGAACATGACTGCAGTGCTCATGTTTGTTTCACTGATTCTAAGTGAAACTTAGTTCACAAGCTTGTCTTTTGTTTGGTGGTCTTATTTTTAAGGAATTTTAGCTGTTACTCTCACACTGAGATATGACCGTCTAAAGAATTTTTTCTTGTTATTATAGTGTCTGCCACCTAGCCATTGTTTTTGTAACTGTAATTAAATCCTTACATCAATGTGATAATTATCTTGCTCTTTTGTGATTGTTTTGGATCTCCAGGATTCACTTAAATAAGCATATGACTCATTATACCTGTGAGACGAGTATTTCTTACCCAGCATACTTTTCTTTATCATTCAGCTTCTGAGTAGAACTGAAGATTCTTGCTGCCACTAAATTCAATTCACCTGGCAGTAAATTCCTCACTTAGGAAACATAGGGGGCATGTTTGAGTTGTGCAGAAAGCACATAAAACCCTGATGGCTCCTTTCCCATTATTTGGTGTAATAAAAAGCAGGAGCAACTGCTGCTTAGTTATCTTAGTACTAGCTTGAGCAAAAGTAACTTTGTTCATATTGCTGACAACATTAACCAAACTTAATGTTACAAATTGTGGATTTTTTTAACTGCCTGGAGGTGGTAGATGAAATATGAGACGGAATTAATACTGTGGCCTTGTGACCATTTGAAGCCAAAATTTTCTTCTTAGCTAATGAACTGCTTTTGACTTTCAACTTTAATGTTTCTGGTTTCTATCAACACTTCTAATTAGAAAAATAATTCTATTTTAAAGCCAAGCACATGTGACTTATCCTTATCCCTGGCAAATGGAGGGTGAACAGAGTAAAAAAATATTTGGTTTTTTGTAGAGGGCGTGTGTGTTCCTGTTTGTGGGACATCAGATGTAGAAAGCTCTAATGTTTAAATAGTGGCCTAGTATGCTTTGTGCCTAGTTTTCCACTGACTTTTGTTTTCTTTGTACAGTTTGTTGCATAATTTAAGGACCCGGATATAAGGCTTGGAAGCCCATCCCTTGTGTTTCTTGGTTTATGACTGTCGGCTTTGTGGAATACGGCTGAGATGAAAGGATTTCTTGAGGATGCAAATTACTCCATTGGTCTGTTGGATGAAGGAGCAACTCTTGCAGATGTTATTGACAACTGTATTTATGAACATACTCATGTAAGTTGGCTTTCCAAATTTTCTGGTTCAGTTCCATAAGTCTTCAAAGTAGGTCAAGGCATTTAGGACTGGTGAACTGACAGCAACAGAGGAAGAGTCAGCTAAGCTTCACTCACCTTATAAAGTGGTTTGCTCTTCTAATTCTGCTTCTTTGCTGTTTGCTTGCTTTGGGCAGAATTCTGTTGGGGAAATTTGGGCAACAACTCCCTGAGCATGGCTAGCAGGAAAGTAATCTTGCTGATGTAATTAAATACGGGTTCCCATCTCTTTGTTTCAAGAGCTTTTATAGCAGTGGGTTTTAGACCAGGAACGTGAAATTGGGCAAGTGGATATATTGAGTTAGAACCCTTTTTGTTGTTTTTGTTCTTTCCCTGAAAATATGGCAAAGTTCAGACAAATATGTGTGCTGAGCCAGTTTAAAGCCACGTTTAAAAGTTCTGTGGGCCATTGTGGTTTATAGTTATACATCTTCCCATTAGCCTTCTCCCCATTGGAAACTTGGGTATGAGCACATTGTGAGGTGCTACCTTTCAAGACAAACTAGTCTAAAAGCTACTAAGGTTTAGCAACCAACTGGAAAGAAATTTGAATAATTCTGTGATTACAATAATTCTATTGAATAAGACTTCACTCATTTCTTAGGAGGCAGGCAGATGTAGCCTTTGTTTTGTAGATGAGGTTGTAGAAAGAGCAAGCTTTAAAAAAAGTTTCATTAAGCAAATACTGTATCCTTAGTATGCCATACCTAGAGTTGTTCACTTTTCCCTTGGTTTATCAGGACTAATGTTCAAGTGCAAGTGCTCAACTATAGTACAGCAAATAGCTAAATTCCATGGCCTTCTGAACTCAGGTGTAGGATTCCCAAATCCTGATTCCTAATATTCTTTTTCTGTCTAGCAAATAAATAGGTAAACTACTGGCAACATGTCATGTCTCCAACCACTGGCTGGCTCACAGAGGATAGCTGCCTCCTGCTGCTTTCATTTACTCCTTTAGCTCAAGGGGTAGAGGCCTGTGCCATGGATCTAAAGCTCCAGATCCCATTCCTGCTGGTGACCCGTACAGGGGGTCAGTATGCTTCCACCCGATGGAATTTCTATTTGTGTTTTTTAAACAGAAAAAGACTTTGTATACAATAAGCCACAACATACATAGTTTCATATCTGTGAAAGTCAAGTGCTAGAATTAACATTTGATGTACAGTCTTAATTCAGATCGATCATATATTTTGTAATGGTCTTTAATAGATATGCAGTAGGCCATTCATTTGCAGGAATTTTACTGAGTGCACATTATAAACAAATATAGAGTAATCTGTTTGGATTTTGATCCACTATACACACATCATGACTTGATATTGAGAAAGACTGTGATATAACAGGTGCACAAGAGGGACTTAACAGTTCCAGAAGAGTGTCTGTGCATTTTCTTAAAGATTATGTACTTGATTCTGCAACCTTTAGCACAGTGAGTTTAGTTCTTAAAATCCTGTTGGAACTAAATGCTTCACAAGATGTGGAGAACAGTCTCAAACTTGACTTCCTGAACTAAAATACTACCAAACAAATTTTCAGGAAAATGAGCTATTAGCTAGATGTTAAAATAATGTTAGTGCATTAGATTTTATTCCTTGTATAATAAGCTATAAATTATGTTGAGACTGTGGAAGCTTTTATTGCAGTGGATTTTTTTCCTCTAAATAGTTACAGACTTCTGAAAATAAAAAGTTGGAAGAGATTTGTATTTTTAGATAAAATGAGCATTTGGCATTTAAGTAGAATCTTTTATTCAGGAATCTCAGAATATTGTCTAAATAGCATTCATAATATCTCTGAAGTGGTAGGTATTCCCTCTGATTTTTTTTCTTTTTTTTTTAAATAGTTCAAATTGCTAGGTGAAAGTAAAAACAAAAGCAACATTCAAGGTCAAATCTAAAAGTTAAGAGCAGGGTAAAAAGGTACATAATCCTTTAAGACTTTGGGTTGTTTGTTTGGCAGCAAACCCACAATTTCAGACATTTTATTTTCCTAATCTTCCTTTTTCAGACTGGAAAAAAGGCATTTTATGTTGGTGATCTTGGAAAGCTTGTAAGGAATAACATACAATGGCAGAACGTGATGGCACCAATAAAGCCATTTTATCCTGTAAGATGCAATTCTACTCCAGGTGTACTCGAAATTCTGGGAACCCTTGGCATTGGTTTTGCATGTTCCAGTAAAGTAAGTTTTTCTTACCTGTGTGCCTTATTTTCTTCCATATGCCTGCTGTTTTAAAATCATCTTTTTGGTGTTAAGTGCCATGATTATAAATAATATAATTTGTGAACTCCTTTGTAACTGGCTGTTGAAAATCTATGCTTCTGCCCTAGAAACAGTGGATAGTTTTTTCTTTGTGGAATAAAAATTCAGGAAAGATAATGCCCTGGACTTTGTCAAGCTCTGGTATTCTCCTGTTTTTTCAGTCTGAAATGGCATTGGTACAAGACTTGGGCATTTCTCCTGAAAACATCATATATACAAATCCTTGCAAGCAAGCTTCTCAGCTCAAGTATGCAGCGAAAGCTGGGATAAACATCATGACTTGTGACAGTGATATTGAGCTGAAGAAAATTTCACGTAATCATCCAAATGCCAAGTAAGTGTCAATTCTGGCTTTGCTTTTAATGTGGGGGAGGCTTAATTTTGCCTACATTCTGGGTTGTTTGATTTGCAAGCAAGTACACGGCTTCTTTAATATAAATCACTTGTATCTGGTTTTCTCCTCTCTTTGTCTCCTTTGAAGGTAGCTTTTTTGCAGCTTTCCCTACTGAGTCTCAACTTCCTCATATAATAGTAAGACCCTTGTTTTGGGAGAAATCTTGGGAGAAACTGATTTCATAGGGCAACCTTGATGTAAAGGTTTCAGTGATTAAAGTTTAGAAGTCTGGCATTTCATCATCTGCAGGTACATCTTCCTCCTGCTCTGTTGTGTCTTCACTGTTATTTTTCAAGAAGTTCTGTTTGGATAGTAGTGGCTCCAGCTGAAGTCAGGGCTGAGACTATCAGCAAATGCCCATGTGCTCTGAATCCTATCTTGGGTTTGGGTACACTCTGCAAGTCTATTAAATACACCTGCAGGTATTTCTGCACCACTAAAGCAGTGAGAAATTTGACTCCAGTTCTATTTTCAGTCACTTCAGTATTAGCTCAGCTGTTTTCTGTAAAGAAGTGATCAAAGCTGATATTCTAGTTGTTAAATATGAGAATTTTATTGCTGCCGATGTGTCATGGTCTCTTGGACTGATAGGCACTCCAGTCATTAAACATCACATCCCTCACATGGATACTTTGGCTATGGACCATACCTTTAAGTAATTTGGAGTCAGAGCCCAAGTGAATGTTACAGTCCTTTCCAGTGATTAATGGGGTATAGCTTCCCACAAATATCATTGGAGAAACTGAATTCCTGACATCCTTTACAAAGCCCTTGGTTCTGAACAGTCATTATTTAACTGTTATGTCTTCTCCCAAAACTGAGACCGTAGTTGTAGAATTGGGAAGATTCTACTAAATTGAGAATCTGAAGACTCTGGTCATCTCACTAGTTGTTTTTCGGGGGGGGGGTGGAGTGGGTTTTGGGGGGGGAGGGAGGACAGGGTGTTTATTTGAGGGAGTTCCGGTTGTTCAAGGCTACCTCAAGATTTAATATTGCTGTTAATATTGCTATTGGTAGTGATTCCACTTAAACCTCATGGAAACCTGTCAGTGCTTTGCATACTGGAGAGGACTTCTGTACAAAGAATGTTAAATGTATAATAAATATTTTTTTCTGTAAAGTGCTGGCCTTGGCATACTTAGTGCATTTGAAAGCCTTGGCAATGCTGAAGCTGACTCTTACGTTGTTAGTGCTTTACCAGTTATTCACTGGTGCATTTAGTGTTTTGTTAGCTTTCATGTTGATTTATTTCCATGATTCTAACAGCTGACTTCAGACAACCTTGTCTGTGGTAACATCCACAGCAAGAGAAGTTAGGATACCTACTTTTCTTGAGCCAGAGCAACTGTAAAATGGGGAGGCAGAACAGAGAAATTTCATAAGGTACAGAAAAACTCTTTACTTCTTTTCAAGGAGCCTATAGTCTAATACTTGCAAAAATTCCCATTTAACAAGGACAAGAAGCTCAATTTCTATAAAAGAACTGCAATTTGCTGTCATAAATTTCCTAGAGGTCTGATTTCTCACTGGGCAGAAGTGCTTTTTTTCTCATTTTATTAGAATTACCTTATTCAGGTCATTTTAATGTTGATGCTGAAGTGACAATGAGTTTTCTTTCTCTTCCTTGGCATAGTTCAAGAAGTCAAAGCCACTGTATAGCCTTGTTCTTCCTGTGTGTGGTTCTTAGAGCTGAATTATGCTTGCATAGATGAAGCCAATACACTTTGGCTGAGGAAAGATGTGATTCTCCTTCTCACTTTCTTAAAATCTGTAACTTTGCACTAAACTTGGTAAATGGGTGGGTCTTCTTTTGTAACTGATGTTTCTGCCTTTCGAAGTCTTAGTCACTGGAATGATTGCAATTTTTTTTTAAAGGAAGAAGAGATGTCAGAAAGGAGTGCTTAGCATTGCATTTCTTTATACCTTTAGGTTTTTCCGGGCAAAGTTTAACTGATAAGGTTTTTGCTGTCCTGAGAGCTTCAGTAGAGGCAAAGCTGATAAAAGAAAATGCTTCCTTAAAAAATAAAAAACCCGAAACCCTAAACATATCACCCTTCTAGCCCTGCTCTGACTGGCTGAAACCCAAGAAGAAGAATCCTACTAGATTTCTAGAAGTCAGAATTACATTTTTTTCAGTGGTTTGCACTAAAAAAGTACCTTGATTCACTTGTAGTGCTGCCATAACCATTAATCAATGAAATTTAACATTGGATGTCTTTTTAAAAAGGGATTTTGACTAATCTTAATGTGAGGTTACAAACCTTAGTATTATGGACCTTTTTTTTTTTTTTTTTACATTTCAAGAAGTTAAACTCTTTAACTTGAATTGTCTGTGCTAGTGGAGAAGTAGGAAATGAAAGGCTAGTCACAGTTTCCCAAGATGAAATGGTATAAATTAAAATTAACAAGGATTGCTGGGCAACCAGTGTGAGAATTTAGGATTTTGTTGCTGTTTACAAAATGCATTTTAAACACCTTATAAGACATTTGGAAACTACTTGTGGAAGTCATGGGTAGCTGTTAGGCCAACATGTGTTCTGCAGTGGCTAGGCTGAGTTCTGTTTGTTTCATGTCTTAAAAAGAGCTATTTCACTTGTCTGCAGAGCTTCTGCTGCTTGTTTGTGCTCCCCACCCTGGCTAACTGCTCTGTGCAGTCTGTCATGTGTGCATGTATGTGACAACTTCACTTTACTGCATGACTAACTAATTGATCTTTTGGGGGTGTGGGGGTGACTGCCTTAGTGGACAGCAGTTTGAATTGGTGAGTTTTGGGGGTATACCTCTAGAGGTTTTGATGCAGACATGCCTTTGCCACTCAAGAGTTAATTTAACATAGAAAACTGTCAACACTGGCACTGCAGTTTGCCAGATATACCCAGGATGAGGCTTTCACTGGAGGGAGGAAGATGTCTCACTGCATAAGAATGTAAGAGATGGTACTTGCTTCCTCTCTGTTCCACAGTGTCCTGGAAGAAGGGGCAGGGAATGGGCTGACATCCCTACCCCATCCCCAGTCCATGTGCTCAGTCAGAAGAGGAGGTGGAGGGATATGGCTGGGGTATGCTTTCAGTTTGTCAGCCTGGTGTTCTCCAGATGCTGATTTAAACTAAATCTGATACGTGGCTGACCTAAGGGTAATCTCCACATTCTCCTCTTGGCTAGGAAGGAGGTCAGAGATGGGAAAAAATCATATTACAGTCTTACTGATTTTATGAGAAACTATATTAGAAGGTAACATTCTCTTTTATTACAGCACTCAACAGACTCTTGCTGCTACTAGAGTCTTAATTGCTGCATTTCGAAATCCCTTGTCCTTGTTGGCTCCATGTTTTAGCCCCTAATTGCTAGTTTTTTCTCTGTACAGGATTGTTTTTATTAGGTTTCCTTGATTCATCCATCGATGGAGTTGGAGTATTGACAACATAATCAACACACTTCTGACAGTCTTCAGGCTTCACATGTGCTGATGATGTAAACCAACTGCCCCAATCATCTTCCCCTTCTCTTAGGCTCTTACTGCACATTGCCACAGAAGACATTACTGCTGATGAGGAGATGAATATGAAGTTTGGCACCACCCTGAAGAACTGTAGGCACCTCATGGAATGTGCTAAGGAGCTGGGAGTCCAAATAATTGGTGTCAAGTGAGTAACTTCTTTGTTCTCTGCTGGCTGAGCAGATGTTTGTACAATGTACTCAAGATGTAGAATAGAAAATAATTTTTTCCCTCTTTGACACTTTTCCAGGGTTAAAAATAAAAGGCAACAAACCCCCCAAACAACAACAAACTAACTTTGAATCATGAATTTTTGCTTGCTAATATAAAAGCAAAAACTAGTATTAAACAAAGTAACTTTTACAGACATCAAAGCAATTTTAAATGGCGCATCAGAAATCCTCTGTCAGCATGAAAACTAACTTTAGAAGCCTCTCCTATTCTCTGACTGTATTCTTGAATTTTTGTGGTAATTTGATTTGTATTTTTCCAGCAATAAACAGCATATTGGATAAGAGCTAGTATAGCATGGAATAGGTTGGACAGAGTTTGAACAAGATCAGCATGGGGTTGGATTTTCTAAGAGTTAGGGTCCTCTGTCACTCTGACCATATCAAGGCAAAATAGCTAAGTTTTTGACTTGCTCGTGGCAGGAATGAATCCTAGTGTTCCAAGATCTTTCAAATGATCTGTGATATTTTAGTTGGAATTTTGACAGATATTTTACTATATGGAAGAAAAATACATGCATTGTTCTGTCTGCCCTCAACTACTAATGTATCAAATACTCATGAATGTTTTAGGAAAGCAACCAAACGAATAAAACAGGGTGGGTCATTGAGACAGTAAAAAAAGAAAATTTAAGCCAGATCTTGATGACTTAAACCACAATTGTTTTGATGTGTATCTGCTTGAAATTGATGTTAAAGCATAAACATACTATAATCATTACAAATGACAAATGTAAACTAGAATATTAGAGGATCCTACTGAGAAAATATGCTGCCTCTTATAATGCCTTAACCAACTTTAACAAAAATCATATGGCTCTTGTGTGTTATTTTTATTTTAAAGAAATGTAGATTCATGCAAATAAGTTTGAAAACGGACCTTTGCCTTAAAAATGGTATTCCTTAGAGGAGTAGACTTGGAGTAGTGAGCATTGTGGTACAGATATGTTTGTGGTCTGTCAAGAACCAGTTAGCCATGTTCCTCTTGAGGAAGCTCATGGGGCATGTTGGCACTAGTTTTAGCATCTCAGTGACTAACTACGTATGGCAGTACTTAAATCTTTTGGGCATGGAACCAGAGGGGATTCAGGAGCTTGTGGGAGGCATCAGGACTTCTCTGCGGCACTGGCACCCACTGAAGAACAAGTTTTAGCCACTTTGGTAGTGAAGACTGAAAAGTTCAGTAAATGTTGTTTCCTAAAGATGAGAATATTGTGGGATATTCTCATACATTAAGAGTGAGACAGGTCTCAAGTAGAAATCCAGTGGCATAGAAGGCAGTAGTTCCTGAGCTTATTCTTTGCACAGTTGCTCTATTATCATGCAAGCTTATTTTGAGCCACTTGGGAATCAGTTGCTTCCATTGCTGTTTTACATGGTGAAACAATTTGGTCTGAAAGCTATATGGTTCAGTGTATTAATTGTGTTTTTATTTCTTTCAGATTTCATGTTTCAGGCTCTTGCAAGGATCTGCAAACGTACATTCATGCTATATCTGATGCCCGGTGTGTGTTTGACATGGCTGTAAGTAGATCTATACACAAATGCAATTGCTACAGTAGCAGACCCCTTCTAATCATATTAGCAAGCCAACTATAATGTTTTCAAAATAAATCCATAGTAGGAGATGGAACTTGCAGTAAGGGACCACATACTCCATTTTGAGATGTGGTAAAGGTAAAACAAATTTTATGTACTAATTGTGGACAAAAGTTAAGGAATACTTCCCACTGACAGGCAGTAGCCTTGTGTGCTGTTTTCAAATAAATTAGTTTCCCAGTTTTGGTAAAGGCTTTTTAACATTTGAATCTGTCCTGCAAATATGTAGCTGACATTTTTGTTAGGCTAAAATATTGAACAATTGTATGCTGGCATTTACTGTGGTATGAGAAGCTTGTAAACTAAACAGAGAAGACTGGGAGTCTTTTTACTCCTATTACTGCAGTTAGTGCATTAGCTGTGACTGGTAATGCACAGATGGGGGCAATGAAATTGAGGATCTTGCTGATCTTTGTGCACATTCACAGATTACGTGACAAGACTGCTACACTGAATTCCTAAAACAGTCTTTTGTCAGCAAATACTGTCTGAATATAACAAAAGCCACAAGATGGGAGTTGATGTTGCTGTTGGACTTGCAGAGAATTGTGTAACCAGGCACTCTTGACATCCCAATGCTGTTGCTATGAGATTTAATGGAGCTGTACTATGCCCTTATTCTCTCACTAGACATAATCTGCTAAATATGTTCAAAAGTATAAATACATAGAAAACAACCACAGTAAGGAGCAACAAATATTTTTGCAGTTAGTTGTTCATGTACTTACATTCTGCTTATGCATTTTAGGAAGAATTTGGCTTTAAGATGAACATGTTGGATATTGGTGGCGGCTTCACAGGCTCAGAACTTCAGCTGGAAGAGGTATGCAATATTTTGGAAGTTGAAACTCTTAATTTTGAAGAAGTGTTTACCTTCAAACTGCAACTAACATTGATAGCTGAAACCTAATCTAAATTCCATGTTAGACTGTACTTCATAAGATCCAAATAGTTGGGTTTGTATTCTTTATTGTGGATAGTGTAATCAGTCCTTGGAGGTGATTATTTCTTTTAATCCTGTTCACACTGGGTTAATGCTGATTTAAGCATGTTGCAGATTAAGTTACTATCTAAAGCAACCTTAGCAGTAGTAATTCAAGTTTTTTGGCAGCTGACTGTGGTTGTCCAACTGATGACTGTTGCATGGTTTGGACCAGGGAGGCTTAGCATGCTTTGGATCATAAACCCTGTTTCTACTGGATGAAAACTTGTGATATTTTGCTTTAGAACTGAAGGCTAAAGGTCTTGGTTTTGTCTTTGCTTTGGCTAGCCTCTGATTTGGCCTAAATGCCATCTTTAGTATGCAGTGGCACATAAAACAGGATAACCTGTTTTCACTGCTATGTTGTCTTAGAGACCAACTCCTTGAAGGCAGGACAGTGGAAGTGATGCAGTGAGAAGTTACTAACAGCAAACAGGGCCTTTCTTTCTTAGTTCTCACAGTTCTGTTACTTGTCTAAAATACCTCCTATTTTCCAATATGTGGCTTAAGATATGAGCATCAGTATTAGATAATGAATTCTGTTTCTAATGTGACACTCTTTGGAACTGATCATGGAAAGACCCTTTCCTTGTTGTTCTGGGTTCGTATGTAATTTTACATTATCTGTTGTGCTGGACAGATGTTGAAATTACTGCTGCAGTCTTGAGTGTACCACAGCTTGACCTTTGGTGGGGAGGAGGGACTGTCATACTCAGACTCATGGCACTCAATCTTCAGTGTTTAGCAGAATGACCAGTTTTCTTAAATCTTTTTCATATATTGTGGACCTCCAGTAAAGACAGTTCTCAGAGAATAGAGGACCAGAGTAACCATTTGGTGTGCTGACTGGAACTGACAGTTGCTGACTGAAAGTGGTTGTGTATCTGATATATCCATAAGCTGAGTTCATTGGTCTTACCTCTGACTTCAATTTCCTAGGTTAATCATGTCATCAGGCCATTGCTGGATGTCTACTTTCCTAAGGAATCTGGTGTTAATGTGATTGCAGAGCCTGGATGCTACTATGTTTCATCTGCATTTACGCTGGCAGTGAACATCATTGCAAAGAAGTCTGTTGAGTATGATAAACTTCTTCCTTCTGGAGGTAAGGATTTATTGGATTTACAGTGTCTGTTATGAATCAGTACGTGTAACTGCCCACTACTAGCTGGGACAGACTAGTTTGTCTCAGCATATATTTAATGCATTCCCTTATCCTTCTGCCTTCCAGGTTCTGACCATATGTTATCTGTGTCTATCACTGTTACTTTTATGCGGTGGTACTTGTATTCTTACTGGTTTTGGCTTCTCAGTGGTTAAACCTCTATTGGGTGCTTCACAGGTGGTGTGTTAGAAGGTTGTGTATTAGAAGAACATAAGAAAACCCATGTCACTGAGCAAGCTGCTTCTCTAGGCTTGTATTCTTAGCAGTGATTATTACTGAAAGTGTTAATTTTATTAAGCCTCACATTTAAAGTTATAACTGAATTTATAATCTAGTTTCATGCAGATTATTATACTTGTAATTCTCCCATTCCAGTGTGTATGGAACCCCTTGTCAGGAAAAAGCAACTGACTTAAGTTAGATTGCAAAAGGACTACTTATGCATGCAAGACAACTTCTTTTTTTACTTCCAGTGGAGCAAACCAGGAATGATGATGAACCAGTATTTACATATTACATAAATGATGGTGTTTATGGTTCTTTTGCGAGTAAATTGTCTGAGAAACTGAATACTATCCCAGAGGTTCACAAGGTGAGTCTTTCCATATTCTTCAGAGATGGCCCTTATCCTTGTCTATTTAATATATATGTAAAACTTTGTACATATATAATTACATGTTACTTACTAAATTCTCCTTCTCTATATTTGAAAATTTTCTTATTTAATAAACTGAAGTCTGAATTAACTTGATCATTTCCATACAGAAATACAAGGACGATGAGCCTCTCTTTGCAAGCAGCCTTTGGGGTCCATCCTGTGATGAGCTTGATCAAATTGTGGAAAACTGTCTTCTTCCTGAGTTGAGCGTTGGAGATTGGCTGATCTTTGATAATATGGGTTCTGGTACCTTAGGTGAACAGTCTACCTTTAACGACTATCAGAGGCCACTGATTTACTACATGATGTCTTTCAGTGACTGGTAAGAAAACTGTCTTGGTAGTGTTGAGATTGCTTTTTCTTCCTTCAGGAGTGTATACTTACAGCCAAATATCAATTCATTTAATGGCAAATGTAGGAAAATGCAAGAATGTGCCTTTTTAGTTTGTGGATTTTTTTTGTCTCTATTTTCTGACTTTCCTAAGACCAAACTGAAGGCTGTGATAAAACCTACTTTGCTTTAAGGACTACAAAGGAAAGCAAAATACCTAATCTCTCCTGTGAGTTCAGTGGTAGCTGTAAAGCCTTTTCCTGTTTGACATCAACCTTTGAGCTTTCCTAGCACCAGTAACTGCAGCCTGTGTATGATATTGGCACCATCGCTGCAGGCAGAAAGGGCAGTAATGCTGTTGTGGTGATGGTGAGTTTGGTAGCCTGTTTCTGTGCCGAGGTAGGCAGGAACCTGTGCTGTGCCCGTGGAGGGTGGGGGCATTTCTGTTCTGCCAAGCACTGGCACAGCTGGTCTCCCTCCTGCCACGGCTCGGGCCAAGCTGTGCAGGGGCACTTGGCTTCAAGTGCTGTATTGAGGCTGGTTTCTGATGTGAAGTTGTACCTGAAAATGTTATTACAACTCTCAACCTTCTCTGCTGCAGGGATGAGATGCAAGACGCTGGAATTGCTTCAGACACATTGATGAAGAATTTCTTCTTTGTGCCTTCTTGCATTCAGCTGAGCCCGGAAGACCGCTTTTCCACTGCAGCTTAAACAGGCATTAACGCTTCATTTAGACCTGCAGTTGCAAGTCTGTAGTTTGTCTGGTCAACATTCCAGTGTGGAAGAAATGGAACAATCTTGAATTCAATTCATTCTCTTCAAAACTTGAAAAAATAGTAATAGCTAATGGGGACCAGGCAAAACAAGCTACAGCTACAATTCAGTGGGGGGTGGGAGGGTTAGATAATGGCGTCCAAATTTAAAATCAAGTTCATTCAACCCCTGAGCGTTAAATATGCAACAAAATGGATGACTTAGTGGAGATGGAAACCCATCACTTGGGTTCTTCAACAGTTTACATACAAGTACACAGTTTTTATACTAAGGATTCCTGTTAGAAAAGTCTTGTAAAGTTATTGTCTTTCGCCCAGATATATCAAATGTCAGTGGGAGACCAGTGTGACTTCATTAGATGTTTTAGTGTATTTAGAATGTGTAAATTTGTGCTTTGAACTGTAGTTTAATAAATGTAAAATTGCATCATAGTATTTGTTGTATTTGACCCTTGATGTATCCCTTGTATGATTGCAATAAAACTTTGTGTAGATTTTACTGTTTTTCAGGCTAACTTTGGGAGGGACTAGGCAGGTAGCTATAAAATAGATGTATACGTGATTGCATTGAGAAGCCTTCTTTTCTCTAGGTTCAGCTTTTTGTTAAACAGTAAAATTTTAAGATTGATAAATCTGTATGAGGTGAAAGTCATGTAAGTTGCTGGAAGGCTAAAATGCAATTTGTGGTGTTTTTAGAGCATGACCTTAGATTCAGTTCTTAACACCAAACAGCAAACCTGCACTAGGCATGGGTGTGCACAGAAGAGGTTTAGTCTCTTAGCTCGTGTGCATGCAGTGCCCTGAGTCAGCATGGGTAAGTCCAACTCTGCACGTTGTCACAGAACCTTTGGCTCCTTTTTTTTAATGGTGTTTATTTGAAAAATCTTAACTTTCAACTTCAGCTAGTTCTGTATAGTGCTGACTCCTAAAGGAATGGCTGCACAAGTCTTCAGAAACCTCAATGCTTTCTTGCACTGGATTTCATTTAGATACATCCACAATGTAAAGGTAGAGCAGACTGCTGCAAGTACATGTGCCAACTGCATCGAGTAATGAACTGGTCATAATTTCTGTATTGTGTTACTGGAGCCTCTTGATTTCCTCAAGGTCCTTACTTTCTTGTCTTAACTTTCCCTTCTTGAAAACTGGGGGAAGGAGGAGGAGGATTGTCAGAAACGATGCACTGAGATCTGGATCCTGAGGTCAGACTTTTTAAAACCTTTTAGTTGGAAGAAAAATTTCTGCCCTTGGGTTGCAAGTGTATCTTACACAAGTGCCAGCTGGTAGGAAACTAACTTCTGTTAGAAAGATTTTTATAAAACTTGATGAGCTTTTACTTGGAAGTAAAGAAAATTCTCAATTTGGACTTGTGAGAACAGTTTACAGGCCAGCTGAGATGTACAAAATGGCTTATGTTTTTGAAGATGCAGTCTAAGAAATATTTATTACTGTATTTAAATGTGGAAGTAGGAAAGGGAGTAAATAATAGTGGGGAAACCTGTGTTTTGGGTTGGTTTTCTGTTTGTTTTTAACCTGTGGTTACTAACTGTCCCTATGTGTCAAGAAAGTGGTATGGACTGCAGTCTACCTGTTGAGGTTTTTCTCTAGACAAGACAGACTGCTGCATGGTTTTCAACTAAATACAAGTTACAGTTGCCTAAGATGAGAACTCAACAGGATTCTGTCATGCAGTCTTAAGGAGAGTTATTTTATGTTAACTTACAGATCAATTGAAAAAAGTTTCTCTCTAAATGATGTGGTCAGCAGAAATACTCGCTGTACTTGAAGACAGTCTGCCATTAAAGCCAACCTGGAGTCTGAACACAGTATGTATTTCAGTTTGATTTGCTAAGTGCTACTGTTCATATTGTAACTGCAGTTCGGAATTTTTACAAAATATGAAAGCTGGATGATTTCTATGTAGTACTTGGAACTAATGTAGCTCTGTTGTGCTCCCTAGACAGCTGCAGCCCCTCCTGTTTGCCATTGCTGGTTGTGCATGGCAAACGCCCCCCAGCTGCTTTGGCCTGAAAGCTTCCCTAAGACAGCCCTTCAGCCTGCCTTGTTTCCCGAGGAAGATCCAGGGTTGTGGCCCCAGACTGGTGGTACTGGTGGTGTCAGTTACTTCCTCAGGAATGGGAAAATGGTTCCAGCTTTTTGTTGTGCCTGAGCAGCTGCACAGCTGGCTTGCATTTGGATCAGAATAAAAGTGGGTGCCCTGGATCCATCACTGGATGTGTTGCCACTTCCTATGTATTCTTCATTCTGCTTTTTCGGGTTTTGTTTTTGGTTTTTTTGGGTGGGTTCTTTTTTTTTTAGATGGGGTGGAGATGTTTGTCAGTATGTTTCAGGTTTGAAGCCTGCTTTTTTTTTTTCTTTTCTAAAAAAACCCTCAAAACTTACCATGTGAGGAAAAAACCACAACCTTTTAATCCTTGATAGCTGGGTAACTGCCTTTGCTGACCAGGGACTATACCTTGAGTCTCCTCTTCTGTGAGGAGGAGGAGATGCTCTTAGGGCTTTGCCAAGGCTTTGGACAACAGCTGGAAAGCAAATGCAGCCTTCAGGAGCAGCAGGCTGGCAGGGGCTGCCCAAAGGAGGGGATCTGTTGTGCTCTACCCACCATGGGTGCTGGCTGCAAGGAGCCCGGAGAAGAAACAGGGTATGTGCCAAAGATAGTTTACCTGACCTGATCATAACCAAAGGAAAAAATTGTTTCTGTGACTGCTATGTGTGCTACAGAAGGGTATTAGACATCACACATTTAATTTTTCCTTGTGCTGGAAGCACTGCACTGAGTGCAGGCTTCTAGCTCATTCTCTGAGCTCTTATTTCCTCCCTTTATTAAAATTTCAAGGAAGTAGTGGCACGTAATTCACTACAACAGTTTACTACTATTTATGTCTTTAAAACGTGAGTGTTGTGTGCATCAAGTACTTGCCCTGAGGTTTAGGGAAAAGCATAATCCATTACTGCCAGCAGCCCCCACCCCCCAGGATATGCTGCTGAGGGGAGTGGAGGGGTCTGTGGCACTGGGGCTGCCCAGGGAAGGCAGGTGAAGGCAGAGAAGGCCTAATCCAGGGCTGTTCCCCAAGAACCTGTCTGCTCTGCAGGGGTGGGACTGGTGGGTACCTACCCTATTACAGGCCCTATTATACTTGGAGTAACAAGCTTTCTCTCTACATTTTCAGCTTTTTGCAGCTGCACAGTCTTTGAGCTGAATTAGGGACATTAATAGGATTACCCTGTTGGCTTTGTAGGGCAAAGCCAGCCTGAACTGGGATGTGGCAGCAGGAGCTGGTCCCCACCCCTTTCAATCTGATCTGCTGCTTCCTATAAGTTCAGTTGAACACTATTTTATTTTAATGTTCTCTGATTGAAATGCTGCAGTGGTGCAGACCACCCGGTGGTGTGTATCACGTAATAACGCAAGTCCTACTGTACTGTGTCAACTAGGGCAGCTACTTGGTTTCAGTCAAAAATGGGAGGGAACACTGTCAGGCTCGAGAATTTGATTTACTGAGTTATCTGCATGATTTTAGATACCAATTGTAGTATTTTGCTCAACTGCACAGCCTCTGACCATGCCCCTTCTTCATCCCATTAAGAAAACTACTCCTCTCTTTGTGTCACAAGTTTATTACACCTCTCTAATGGCAATCCCTGCTGTGAAGGTGGGAGCTGTGCAGTACACTCGTCCCTCGCTCGCTGCAGCCGGTTCGGGGAATGCAGAGGCGGCAGAGGCTGTGCCGGGCAGCAGCGTATATGTGAGCAGAAGGGCTGGGCTCCAGCGCTGTGGTCTGACACTGACACCCTCCTCCCAGTAATTCCCCATTGGAACAACAGGAATAGGAATACGGCGTGAGCCCCACCGCGGGTATTGCTGCTTGGAAGCAGCGACGCCGCCTCAGCTGCTCCCGGTTCCTCGGGCGGCGCCGGGCGTCCCGCGGCAGGCAGGAGCTTCCAGCCCCGGCCCGGGCCGCTGCGGCGGGGGCGGAGGGGAAGCCCTGCCCCGTTCTCCGCTCCCTTCCCCGCCCCATCCCGGGGCCGTGTCCCGGCCGCTCCCGTGTCCCGGCGCGGGGACTCACGGCCTCAAGGGACACGGCCCGAGCCGCCACGTCACCGCCCACCGCGCTCCTCGAATGCCCCTGGAAATGCAGACGGGGAAAGCCGCCCGGATGCGTTAGGCCTGTGCAGACAGGCTGTCGGGATCCTTTCCCGCAGGCTTTTCCAGCCCCGACGGAATGAAGACCTGGACAGCCCGGTCTGACCTAATGGCTGAACCTGCCCGGAGCCAGTGGCTGGACCGGAGGCCTCCCGGGGCCCCTTTCCCACAGAATTATCCTGTGATCCTGTGACACCGGATCACAAACCCTCCTTCCAGTTTGAGCTGTGCCACCACCCTGGCTGGGTGCTGCTGGAGCTCTGTTAGCAGGTGACATGAGCAGGACTGGCTGAAAAAGCCATTCCTCTTTGAGCTGTCTGGGAATCCAAGACCTTCCTGTTCCACATGGGGATGGGGACGGGGATTAACCTACCCATTCTAATACCAGCTGGGGGGGCAGAGGTGGGAGACAGACTCTGAGACATATGACCAGGGGACTCGGTCTCCCCACGGACACATGAACATTCCCATTGAAGGCTTCAATTTCAACAAAATACTAGTATTTGCCAACAACAAACGCCTCAACGGCAACTTCCCAGCCAGCTCTCAGTCCCAAAGTGCACGTCCCAGGGACACCGGCACTGACGGGAAGGCTGAGGAGCCACCTCCTTCTCCAGCTGTGCCTGACCCCGAGGTGCTCTCTCCCGCCGGCTCCATCCCGCAGTCCCTGGCACGAGGTGAGCTGCCCTGGCACGGTTTCAAGGCCAGTGCTCAAGGCCTGTGCCGTCAGCAGGGCTGGTGACACGCTTCATGTTATTCCTGCAGGACCGGGATTGGCTCCGTCAGCCACCGCACCCAACATTCCTGCCGCTACACCCCGTCCATGGGCTGCACCGAGAGGAGTGACTGCAGCCAGGGGACGGGGGACAGACAGCCCTCAACATCCAGATAGCTGGGGACTGGAAGGTGTAACAGCGGCGGCAGCTGCCACGCTGCTTTAAGGCTGGGTACCCCCTGCGCTCCCCTGAGTTCAGGTTTCCTTTCTCCCTGTGGAGCCGCTGCCAGCCCCAGCCCTGCCCGCGTGGCAGGCACGGGTGCGTGCGGAGCCGGCCGGCCCTCCCTGCTGCAGAGCCAGCGGCAGCTGGGCCTCACCTCCCTTAACCCCGCCAGCCGAAATCAGTACAGCTGAAATTTTCCACTTGAGACGCACACAAGACCAGAATAGATTTCCAGGGTATTCTTTTTTCCTTCACTAGCTAGAGGAAGACCAGGACACACTTTGTAATGTTTGCTTTTAAAACACCCTCCAGAAGGCTTTAGGGAGTCCCCACGGCATGGACAGCCCCACAGGGAGAGCCCCTGAGGCTCCAGGGTGTCAGGCTGGGGGCACTGGC